GGCTGCACTTGATTGGCCTTCGGACACAGAGCTGCGTCCGGCCTCCGCACGAAATAATTTCTCCTCAAACGAAATCTCAATTAAGCTTTTGCAATACCTACACAATGGATAATAGAAAATTGCTTCAATTACCTCAGTTAAAAGTTAGAGCATTTTTGTCATAGTTCCTAATAGCATAAGCTGAATGAATCATTTGAAGTTATATGAAAAAATAGAATATAAGTTTTCAATATTCTAAAGTTTTGTTTGGGAAGACTTTCTTACTGTTTCTTAAAACAACTTTTTCATACAAAATTTTAAGTTTTTTACAAAAAAATAGCTTTAAGAAGCAGTAAAAAATCCTCCCCAAACGAAACCTAAATCACCTTAATGATCATTAATTAAAACTTAATGCATAATTATTAATTTTCTTGTAGGTGTAGAAGCACCCCACCTAATGAGAATCCTTAATATAAGTATGTTCCACATGACCACTGAATTATATGCCACTAATGCGAGCTTTAATTACTAATTAGAGCTACTTGTCACCGAGTCCAAACTGGGCAGACAATGTATGTTAGAGTGCTTCTATTTTCCACACATATTGGTTGGTGAATAATAAATGCTAAGATGTCTATGTCCCTTCTTTGCATGCATTGGGCTCACATTGCTTTGCACTCAATGAAAATAGATAAAAAAAATTATAATGAGGTTCCTTGCATAAACATATATAAATAGGGTGTAAACATTAAGCAAAATGATTTCATATTCAATAAAAAAGAATATGTTTATAGAAAAATGTAATATAATGTTTTATTACATGATAAGTGTCAAAATTAATTTGTGTAGTTGACCCCACATCTTTAATTTTAGGTCTAGCTCTTCCTTCATATGTTTTTTTTTTTTTGGAGATTTAGGTCAATTAAGACAGACTCACACGCACATTAAGTACACAAGACTCGAACTCAAGACCTCTTAGTTGGTAGCCTAAGCTCTCAACCAACAGACCAAGATGAACTGTGTTACCTTCATATGTTAAGAAAGGTAGAGTTAGACCTAAAAAGACTTGATTAGAAAATATTAGAAATGACATTTCTTTATTAGAACTAGAGCTAAAGCTAAAGCATGTTGCAATAAAATTGAGCTATTCTAAAGAAACCCTAAAAAAGGGGACATTGATGTAAATATCTTATCAGAAGCTAAACTTTTTGTCATCATATTTATGAAAATTTAATATTACCATAATATACTATATCTTGTTAACATAGAAAAAATAATAAAAATATTATACCTCAAAGTATATAGTTGATGGTGCTATTCAACATGAATATGATCCTATAACAATATGGATGAAAGCTATATAGGGATTAATCAAAGGCCTGATATATGACTTCGGTGGTGTTGCGCTGAGAATTATGCATATGTTTGGGCTCCTCCACATTATAGAGATCTAGATGGAGACAATTTTGAGGACAACCAATTAATAAAGAGAAGGCCCGACCAGCTTATGTGATCTATGCTGAAGAGTTACAATAATAAGACACTTTAAGTGGTGGAGCCAAATGGAGGGAGTAAGAGCTAGAAGTAGAAGAGGGAGGAGATGATCACGAGGAGTATAAGGTTGCAATAATTAAAAGTTTGTATTTTAATAAATATTTAACTATTGATGTTGTGTACAATCCCATATTTCAATATCAAACTAATGTTGTATAGTTTATGCTCAACTAATTATGACTATTTATTTCTTTTAGTTATTGTAAATGATGCATATGATATTGTTTGTTCTATATATAGACAATTTTGTCATTATTATATTATTTTATGCATATTGTTTATGATAAATTTAAAAACTTAAATTAGTAAGTAAAGATTCAAAATTAATCCTTAAATTATTGATATTTTATTTTTATTTTCATATATTTCCCTTAATTTATGGAATTTCATAAAAACCATATAATTAAAAAGATTGTCACATGTGACTTCTTCTCAGAGAGCATGGAGGTGGCCCTCTTCATCTTAATTTAAGAAAATATACACGTTTTAGCTTTAAGACTGAATAAAATTTACATAATAAGTTCTAGTATGAGATTATAAGAATGTCTAAATAATAAAGGCTTTGTTTGGGATAACTTTCTTGACGCTTTATAAAATTGTGGTAGAAAAAAATTAATTTTTAAAGCTGTTATATAAAGTAACTTTTTAGTATAATTTTTTTTTTTGTAAATCAACAAAAAATTAGTGGTCAAACAAAAATTATGATTACGGATTAAAAAATCAAGCAATAAAAAGCTATCCAAAACTTTTTTTGGTGGACATAATTTAAACTTCGTTTGGGACAGTTATAGACCGCTGTTTTTTCGCACTTTTAATAGATTTTTATACCAAAAAGCAGCTTTACATAGTCTAAACAAAATTAAATTGAAATGAATTAAAGTTTCAAAAAAGAGATTTAAGATTTAAAACTAATCGGAATAAAAAAAAAAACCTAAAACATCTGCACGTTTTTTGATGAAGATCTTGCGAATAGTAATCAGCTGCTTTAAGAAGGGCGGGCCTCATTGCACCCAGTGGAACCCAACAGCATCGCCGCCAGTGTCTTCCTGCCATACAAAACACATACATGCCACGTGCCCCCAAAATCCACGTGGCATGTCCACATCACCAAAACCGATTCCCACGTATTCCTGCCGCAAACCAGACCTGCTAACGTGGACGGCATTCTTCACGGAGTTCCGCTGCCACGCAGCACAATGTAGCTGATCTTAACACCAAAAAATATGTTTAGAGTCTAATTACAAGGCTTCTAAAACCATATGAGGTTTGATTTTTCCAATTTCTCTGATTTTTTTAGAACTTCTAACAGTTTTTCTGCTTAGTTTGTGTTGAATTTTCAAATTTTTTTTTAAAAAAAAAAAACGTGTCGCTATGTAGTTTTATGATGCGGCTTTTGGAGGTATTGGGCTCCAACATAGAGACAAGGCTTCGAGTACATTATATTTAATTTATAATTGGTGCGGGCTAGAATAAATGTGGCAGTGGAGTATAAAATTTTTTTATGTTAACATTGCACAAATATTTAGCATACAAATAGATAAGATAAAACATCAATATTTTTATGTGGAAAACTCTTAAGAAGAAAAAAAAACTATGTACTCTGACCCTTATGGTGAAATTGTAATAATAGTGAGAGTTGGGCGGAAGTTCGGCGTCACTCGGTGGTCGAGTGGAAGTCCGGCTTTTGTCGACAGCCAGGTATAAACCCAGCAACGTTCGATAGCCGAGCGGAAGTCCGGCTTTTGTCGACAGCCAGGTATAAACCCAGCAACGTTCGATAGCCGAGCGGAAGTCCGACGACCGTAGGTGGTTGGTAAAAAGTCCAGCAATTGTCACTGGCCGGGCAGAAGTCCGATAATGGATGGTAGCCGAGCAAAAGTCCGACCACAGTCGGTGGTTGGGCGATGGTCGAGGAGGAGCTTGATGGCAAGAGAGATCTCAAATTTTCTTTCTTCTCCCTCTTCTTTTTCCTCCCTACCCATGTGAAGAATAAATGCTATATTTATAGTTTTTTGGGAGTGACATGACTAATAAATATGGCGAAGATCAAGGGATGGACGGCCGATATTGACTCTCTCAATTATGGACCGTATATCAATCATTTGAATGCCTTAATGATGTTTGACTTAGATGATCTTGGGTTCATTGGACTTGTCTCATCGAGCTGCTCGATTAGACTAATAACATACAATATTTGAATATCATTTGATCATCCAGTTTATACTTTGAAACTTCCAAACGTGCTTCGAGCTATCGATTTGGTCCCATTTGGGCCCGGATTAGATCTAATTTGGTGTTGTTGGGTTCATCTTTTTTAGATGTTCAATTCAACTATAAGTTTGCTAAAATCGGAATTCAGATCATCCCGAAATTAATTTTGGAAATTTCTTATTCAACTTTACCTAGAGATTCATGCCCGATCAAGATAATTTTTTTGATGATATATCAATAATAATTACAGTTAAATTAATTTAACAACCCAAAAAAAATCAACTTCGAAAGATTCATAGTTAATTTATAATAATTATGATTAAACTTTTCAACATTCCACAAAAATTGAGTTCTAGTTTGATTGAGTTTTGTTTAGAGTTGGCGAGCTATAAAAAATTCCATCAATATATCTGAATATATTTTGTATAAGCTGTATTTAGTAACTTTAGTTTGCTATATGTGTCATAATTGGGAGAGTCACATATTATTTTTCAAATTAATTAAATTAATATTAGATAAATAATTTAGTTATAATATTTAATAATTTTATTATTTTACTATATATTTTAGTTTTATTGTTTAATAATTTAATTATTTTTATTATAAAATATTAGAAATGATTTTTCATTAGATTTAAATAAGAACATAACGGTTACTAATACATAATACAGAAAAAGGATTCATGTATCTGACCCCAAGTAATGCGATAAAAATTTCATGTTGTAGCAGTTGTCATCATTGTTTAATAATTTAATTTTATTGAAAAATAATATATATATTCATGATGCAAAATATAATTTAGATCATATTATTTGGATGATTTTACTGATTTTAACCAACTTTATCCAAGTAATCAAAATTTTTTCATACTAATCACTGAGATGAGATGTAGACTTCGTTTGAGACAGTTTTCTTGCTGCTTTCTAAAGTAAAAAAATTATCACAAACGAACGATTAATCATATCATTATTTTTGATTTGCTTTATTGTTTGATGCATGGATAATAAAACTAGCCAAACAAAAATAAGGAAATAAATTAATTGGAATAAAGATGCTTCAAGCAAGGTCCAATTTTTGAGGGAACATCATTCCTTAAAGAGCTGACAGTACCATTAAAATAAGAGTTTAAGCTTCAAATACTACTTAAGCTTAAGCTGTCAAATTCAATTATTTAATTTTGCCAAGAAAAATCTCGCCCTTAAAAAAATGACACATTGGTAGGATGGGCCAATTGCATATATAATGGACAGAGTCATAAGCTTCTAGCAGCATTACCAGGCTCTCTTCCTTCCTTCTTCGTAAGAGCTGCTTCTCTCCGCCTAATCTCTTCATCTCCTACCTTTCCTTTTTAGCAATAAAACCTTTACAAAAGCAGAAATCAAGGCTTTGCAATGAGGCCTGCCATGTCACTAGTCAACCTCCTTTTGCTTTTCCTCCTATTCAACGACACAGCTGAAGGTATATTTCTCATCACAAAAAGCTGCAACTCTTTCTTTAATTGTTGCTGACAGGAACAATTAAGCTTCGTTTTGGATGCCTTTTTTATTGCTTCTTAAAACAACTTTGAAAACTATCTAAAAATCCGTCCCAAACAGAGCTTTAATGAAGCTGAGCTGAGCATTTCTATTGTTTTTCTCTTCTTTAGGCATTCGCCTGGAACAGCACTCCTTGGTATCTATCCACAGGATTAGCACTCAGGTACAGGAATTCATTAACAAAATTCTTTTTACAGAAGTTGATATTGAAGAGAAATTTCCTGTAGGGAATTGAATATATGATTTATTTGTTTTGTTGGTGACCTCAGGAGGCCTATCTCAGGGGAGGAGCTAGAAGTTCAGAGGAAGAAGTTCTTTGTAGAGAGGGAGAAACTTGCTCAGGTACAGTAAATGATATAAGGAGTTCTTTTAATGAAATGAAGGCACTCCATCAGAGTCTACCAGGGTTTCATGAAGATTATGTTGGGCCTAAGAAACACAATGCTAAGCACCATTGAAAAGTTTCAAATATCTGTTTACCTTTAGCTAGCACTGAATAGCATGGAGAGCCTCCCCTTTTTCCCAATATCACTAAATGTTACTTGAGCTTCACACAGTGTTGAAGCAATTTTGCTTTATGTACTCAACCAAAACAAAGTAGTCATGTGAGCCCTGCAAATGCCTCTCTCTCTCTCTCTCTCTCTCTCACGCTGCAAGCGAATCAAACGTTCGACGAGCTACTCGTTACTCGGTTCGATTAAAGCTCGTTTGTGATCGTTTAACTAATTAAACAAACAAATTTGTACAACAATTTTAATATTCGATCCTTAAATAAACAAGCATGTGAGTGTTCATATTCAGCATTGAATCAATGATGATTTGGGGCTCTGATCACAGTTGCTTCATATCATCTTTGATTCAATATCAAGACACATACTTGTTTATGAATCCAATATTGAATCAAGAATGATATGAAGCAACTGTGCTCATAACTCATAATATGCATATAGCAACACTTAAATATCTGAATTGACAGGACCAAGCTTTACGCACTAGTTTATGCAACTTTCTTATGCAAATATAAAATTCAAAATAAAAATAGAAATTCACTAAAGAATCACGAGCTTTATATGATCTCTCACTGTTACAGTCGAAAGTGATATTTTGCATGATAAATCTCTTAAAAGGCTTGGCTTTTATCTAATAATGCAGGGTGGAATAATAGAAAAATGATGATGATAAAGACGAGAGAAGCCACGGCGTCATCACCAAAGGTTGGTGTGAAAAGTTTGCTAATTAATTACTTTGGTAATTAATAAGTCATAACATATTAGAAATTACTTAATTATTGTTAATCCACAGAGCGAAGGCGTCAAGGAAATCAAAGGCAACAGTGATCAGAGCCCTGACAAGGAGAGTACTTCGCCGGAGAGCTACCCCGACATTTTAGACATCGCCGGAATGGATTATTCTCCGGCGAAGAAGAAGTCTCCAATCCATAACTAAAGGATGTATGAATGAATGAAAGAAAGCTTTGACTTAGGAGTGTAGATTAATATTTATAGATTAGTAGGCCTTTGAGCAGCAGAAATACTGGAAATTATGCAGTTTTTTGGGGGGCATTGCCCCATTTTGTAAGAAATTGTAACTTTGTAACTTAGAACATATTATATAATTTATCATTTTTATATGATGATTGTGTACTTGATGACATGTTTTGCATGAAGCCTTGTAAGGTAGGATCCCACCCACCAATGCTTAGCTCGGTTTGGAACCCCCTATCTCTTGAGCGGCAGTCGTCCTTTCAGTGGGGGCCCGAAAGCGCCGGCTACGGATACAATGGCATGGGTGGCCCTGTAGGTCGGCCGGGGTTTACGAATAGTCAAAAATGGACGGTTCCTCGTCACCAAAAAAATGGAGGTAGGACCCCTATGTTATGTAGATTTGTAAGAATTCTTCTCGAGCTTGTAGAGCTGTATCAACTAAGTACTGTGGTTGGCATGGAAAGGCGGACAGAGAAGGAGAGAGAGGTTGTCTCTTGTGACTGTTTTTTTAACAAAATTGATGTGGTGGGCGTCTATTTCAAGTTGTGGGGAGAAGGACAGCGATGTGCGACAAGTTATGTCCGGAGCTCTTAATTTGATGTGTTCTTATTTTAAGATTACAAAATAAAAAATTAAATTAAAATGATATTTAGGCTTAGATTTTGTTTGGAATAAATTTTTTATTTATTATTGAAGCAATTTTTTATTATAAAAAAATAATTTTTATATTAAAAGACTGGTTCAAGAAATAGTAAAAAAGTAGTCCCAAACGAAGTCTTAGGCTTCGTTTGGGACCGCTTTTTTATTGCTTTCTAAAACGGAGTTTTAGTAAAAAATAAAAAAATTTGTACTAAAAATCCGTTTTAGAAAGCAATAAAAAAGCCGCCCCAAACAAAGCCTTAGTTTGTGACGACTTTCTTATTGCTTCTTAAAACAGCTTTCTAGTACAAAATTTTAATTTTTGCAATATAAAAAACTACTTTAAAAAATAATAAGAAAGCCGTCACAAACGAAACCTTAATCATAAATATAATCGGTCGTGTTGAATTTGAAAGATCTTGCCAGAGAGAAATGAATCAAGTTGAACTAATTACTGCTAATTGTGTAGGGACGAATCAGGGGGATAATGAGCCAGTTTTCTCGAGTCTTTCTGATCACGAGAACTTCAAGTCTGTTTGTGCATATTTTGGAGGGTAAATGAGATTTATGTGTTGCTTGAGTGAGCTTAAGGACTTAGCATTGACGGTCGAGTTAGTGCTACTTTTTTTTTAAGGGGAGAGGGGATATTTAGGCCAATTATGACAAAATAATACACACAACACATATGCAAGATTAGAACTCAAGAACTCTTAGTGATAATCAAAGCTCCCAACCATCAGACCAAAGTAAGCCGCGTTAGTGCTGATTCTTAGATGACTTATTCGAGATGTAGCCAGGGGCTCAGAGAGGGGGGGCCTTAGAGGGCACGTGCCCTCGCTCTGAAATTTAGAAAAGTTTGTGTTAGGAGCTAGCTTCCCACGAGCGATTTCCAAAAAAAAAATTGAATGAAATTTACAAGCATATCTTCATAGAGTACATTGATTTTTCATAATACATATAAACATGAAATTGATTAATTCAATCTGAATATAAAAATCAACTGAAACAAAATTAAAGTTGGGTCCCCCTTAAAAATTTATGGCTTCGCCACTAGATGTAGCTCTAGGTATCTCGAGGGCATCTCCAACCGAAAATATCATTTTTCACTCCAAAATGCCATGAAACTAAAAATTGTCATGATTCATCTCCAATCAAATGTCATTTTACCCATAACGGTCCTTCTTTGCACGTTTCTTCATCAAATTCAGTAGAGACAAAAAGAAAATGGCGAAGATGAACAGTGCAACGCCAATATTGACGTCACACTTTTCATCTCCGATCAAATGGCGTCAAAAATGACGGTGGGTTGGAGCAAAATAAGAACGGCCCATTGGAGTTTCCCTGAGGCCTTAGTAACTTCCAACTTAACAAATATCGTGCTGCAGGAGATTAAACATGGCCGTTAATAATTGCATCAAGATCATTTATCTATTTTACGAATATTAATAACTAATTGACATATATTCCGAGCCAATACCAATTAATTAATGCTTTGTCGGGGGATCGCATGCATGTGGCATGTGGGTGTGTTATGTTAGATGACCGGACGGTGGGGATGGGCCGGCCGGCAGAGTCGCCATCGGCCACCGTTGCATTCAATTTATACGGGGAAGCATTCGGATATGGCACCAAGTGCATTTGTCTGTGGCGGAGCTTCGGAGATGGAGATAGCACAGTGATGTGTCTGGTCATCTTGTGAGGCGCACAACAAAAGAATGAGCCTAATTAAATGTATCCAAATTATTTGGCGATTTATGTCATTTGGAAGAAAGACAGGTTTTTCAAGTAGGGCTACTTTCCATTAGGAGGTGTTGAATGAAGAGGAAGGTAAAGATTAGCCTACAGACATTCATTATTCAATCCGCATGTGTTGGTTAGAGCTAAATTGTTTAATCAATGGATGATAAGCGTTCGGTCGAGAAAGGCTTTGTTTGAGACGACTTTCTTACTGCTTCTTAAAAATTTTTATACTAGAAAACTGCTTTAAGAAACAGTGAGAAAATCGTCACAAACGAAGCCAAAGTGTTGATACCATGCACTAGTTTGAGTAGATGGTAGGTTTGGTGTGTTATATATGATCACGCATTGTTAGTGATAGGTAGGTGGCGAAGAAGACTATTGTGAGGGTTATGTTATGCTTTTTAGAATTAGAATTAGTATGAACATGAGATTTATGATGTGAATATATTGGGGTCACACATTCAAGAACTAAAACATGCATCAACATAAGCGAAGGAAGATAAATGATTTATTATATATCTAAAACTAGCATTATAGATTTTGTAACAACTTAAACTCTTAACAATCGAGATATTGAAAGCTTCAGTCTGATATATAGCCTCATGAATTTATCGTATTGGTGTAATTTTTCAGGAGTTCACTAGCTGATTCTAAGAGTGTTCCGATACGAACACGCTTAATTTTAAAGTTTCCAATAAAATTCTAACCATTATACTAAAATGCGTCTCGATGTTTAAGAGTTTAACTTTATTTTCTTAAGAAGTTTGACAGATTCAATTCTTATAATGTAAAACATTTAGGTCATATGATTATATAAAATAGAAGTGTTAAAAGGGAACATTCATAAGTAAATAACTGAATTGTCAAAGAGAACAATAAGTAGATTACTAATTTAATTTATTTCTAAGTTTCTTATTTTTGCTTACAATTAATTAACATGGATTTAGGCTTCGTTTGTGACAACTTTCTTACTGCTTTCTAAAACAAATTTATAGTACATAAATTTATAGTTAAAAAAAATTAGTACTTATATTTTAAAGATTTGATCTAATTTTTAGTACTTATATTTATTATTTTTTGCTTGGATTTATGATATTTTTGCTTATTAGTTAGATATATAAGATTTGAGTTAAACTGAGATCTAATATTTTAATGCTTAGATCTATATATTTTTTAGGCTAGTTTTATTATATATATATAATTTTGTTAGATTTTTAGATCCAAAATTTAATTACATATTTACTATGTTTAAGTAAATTTTAATAAATTTATTCTTGCATTTTAATGGGAAAAAATATTAATTTTTTAATGACAAGATTATAAAATTGCTTTTTCAATTTCATTTGTTTTAATTAAATATAATTACTAATTTGTTGGCTAATTTGTTAGTTAACTATGAGTGAGAGTAAGAATGATATATATTTTAACTTCTCATAGTTAAATCTAAAAAAAAAAAAGCTGATTTTTTGACAGTAAATGAGCATTTCTAGTGGGTTTATTTTTCTCATGAATGAAATTCTATATATAATCAACCGAAAATACTATTTTTTAGTAACTCGGGCTTTTTTCTGTATTGTTTCTTTTCATTGAATTGATCGCCTTCCAATAGTTGTATTAGAATAGAGAGAAAGAAATTGATCAATTATGATCCAAAATATTTTTACTTGGTTAGTCACCCATCCAATCTACATCCACACCAAATTTTTCATTCACTTAATATTTCATTAATAATAGTCAACTAACCCAACTACTTCACTCCTCGAGCACTACAAGAAAATCAGGGATTACTGACGGCATTTATCAGCAGTCGTCGGCATTCAACTGGCGGTAAACCGACTGATAAAACTGACGTTTTTTACGGCCGGTAATCGGCGGCTTACCGGCGCTATGATTGTCGGAATTTACCAGTCGTTTATACCGCCAAAAAGATGCCGGTAAGGTCAACGTCAGAAACTGACCGTCGGAAATCTTTTCCATGCATGCAGTTTATACCAGCGGCACTTCCTGATTTTCCTATAGTGAATTTTGTGGACATTGCCTCACAACTTATGAACTTCCCTTACAAATTAGAATACCAACTCTATAGATTTATTTATTTAAAGTGAACATATTGGGAGGGATAGATAAGATTATTACCAATCAAAATAAAACTACATAATCTCTTTTAAATGTATAATAGAAGTGCAAAATAGATATACAAAATCCTAGGAAATTGTGTAGAGAAATTTATTCAATAACCAAGGAGATTCTTATTATAAACACTTGAAATCTTTCCAATTGATATTACAAATTTAGCACAAGACTTCATTATTAATTTTATATTAATTATCCAATAGTTAGAGTGTTATTTATAAGATTAATTTAAGCTTTGTTTGAGACGGCTTTCTTTCTGCTTTTAAAGCAATTTTCTAGTTAAAAATTTTATTTTTTGAATAGAAGAATAAACAGTAAAATGTCATCCCAAACAAAGCCTTAGTTTACAATGACTCTACAAATTTTAAATCTCCAATCAATATAAACTAGTTGTTACACTTGAGTATTAGACATCATATGTATGATTTTCAATCGAATGTACTATTAATTTAAATTCTAATGAATCGTATTCTAAGTAAAAGCTAAGTACTCTAATACAGAATCATGCCACACATGTTAGATTACTATAATCTTAAGCTTTGTTTGTGACATTTTTATTACTTCTTTCTAAAGCCACTTTTATTCAAACAATTTCAATTCAAGAAATTTTTTTACTAAAAAATTACTTTAAAAA